ATTAGGTCAGTAACATTGTAAATAAATATAAACAAATATATTCACGTCAACTCCCATCGATTGAATGGCCCACACGACACCTCTGGGACACTTGCTACACGAGCAAATATGAATTAATGATGTTAACACAAGTTTTCTCCACTGTGACCATGGTAAGTCATATTTAATTTTTTTCCTGTAAATATGGAACTTATTTTAACAATATTAGAAGGAAAAATAACAAAAATATTTTCCCATGCACCAGGGCATTGTCTAGTATAAACAGAGGTGCAACCTTTAACAGTCATAACTTGTTATTTGTAAGTTCAGTGTTAATGAAATTCTCTACTCAGTATAGTAAAATATGTCAAGGAAGAATATTCTGAATATGACTGTTGAACACTTCATCTCTTCTTATCTCTCTTTCCAGCATCCTGAATATTCTTAGTTGTGTCAGAATCACAAGTTTTTTCAAACAGATTCAGTCTTTGATAATTTTTCTGTGAGGAGCCCCGTCGGCTCCCCAAAGCTATCCAGGCTGAATGGATATGTATAACTTTCTGGCATCAGTCAAAGTGCTTGGAGTTCTTGCCTACCGGGGACCACGAGCCAAAACCTGGCCCCCCCCTCTGAGAGGCACGAGGAGCAACAGCCTATAGACCTCCCCCCCCCCCCCCCCCCTTTGGTTGGGAGCATTGTGTGTCTGCCATCGACCAGGACAGGCACCCAGAAAGGTAGGCGCTCCAAAACAAACCCCCTATTCTGGTAAAAATATTGCTACTGAAAGCCAAACGAGTGAACAAAACTTCCCAAACAAAATTATCAAACTAGCATGACGTCATCACGTTGCAGCGCCGCCATCTGAGAAACCTCCCCTCCCCGGGAGGGGGAAGGGGAAGCCCCAGACCATCTGTGCCGGCGATCCAACTGGCAGTTCTTGGCTGATGTGATTACTGGCCAATCGTGTGCCTCTGGCTCCGGTTTTGTTTCACTTCTGTGCCTTTGCCTTATGGTGTGGGCTGTCTCAACAGGTGGTGTGTGAGCCAGGAGAGAGATTCCACGGTACTCGGGATGCATGTGCCTAGGGCTCTCTTCCCTAGGTGCCCTGTAAATACTGCCCTTGGGGCTTGGGGCCACATTCCACAAGTCACCTTGGTATCTACCTCCGCTGTGTCTTTTACCACTCGGTATTTGGCCGCCCTTGGAGTCAGCTGGGGTTTTGTTGCCCATGTTTGTCTCTAGGTAGATGGTAGTTTTCGTCACTGGTAGGGGCGCGGGGTACTGCACAGCTAGTTTTCACCAATAACAGCGGCCGGCTCTGTTCCGCTGGGGCAGGTTGTCTTCTTGAGGGGTTTTTCTTTTGTTTTTGCCTGGTGGGTGGGGCAGGGGGTCTGCCTTTGTGTTCCCCTTTGCTGTTCTAGGGGTTTTTATACATATATTTTCTGTTTGGTGATACTCCCCACTTGGCCCCCATGAGTGGACACGTCCCGGGGTTCAGCGTTTAGAAGGTTGTTTGGTAGACTTGGGCGCCTGTTTGCAGTACCCTGCCTAGGCTTCCATTAACGTGTAACCAAGGCTAAGGGCCCTGGGAAACCCCACGGGGGCTACGTGGTTTGATGGATGTGACCACTGAGTCCCCCCCTCACGTCTTGTGAGTTTGAAGGTTGCTCTGTCCTCATGTCTCAGGGTGACACTCACCAGTTGTGCCTCCGCCATGCTGCCTGTTGGGTCTGTGTTTCTTTTGACCTGAAGTTGTGCGACGTATGTTGTCTGTATATGCTCTCAAGCCACTGATCATGATATGCAGGTGCAGGCAGCTGCAGAATTGCATGCTAGGTTTAGGTTGCTGCAAAGCTCTAGGTTGGTTGCGGTCCCGGATGCCCCGAGACTGCCCCATTTTGGTTATAGGGGCCCGGACTTGGAGGTGGGAGTTGCTTCAGCTCTGGTTCCGTCCGCTCCTCCTAGTCCCTCCACTTCTGTCATGCATACTTCCTCACCTTGCTTCTGGCTCCGAACCAAAGGCGGGTTTCTGGGTTAGGGCAGGGCTTGATTGGGTTGAGTCTCAGGCAGTCTCGGGGGTTTTCCTCCTCCGGGATGGCGGCGAGGCATTCAAGCCTGTTCCTCCAGCCATGCCATATGGGTCTGACCAGTGGGCTCCCTTCCTTAGTGTTTTGTACAGCTGCCCCGGCTTTTTCTTGTGGGGCTGGGGCTCTGGGGGAAAAAACTCGGCCCCGGGTCTTGCTGTAGAAGTTCCCGGGGTTGGGGAGGGGTTACCTGGGGGGCCTAGGCCCTGTTTTGTCCCGCTTGGGTTTTTGTACTCTCGGAGCGGGGCTTGCAGTTCCTCGGAGTGGGGTTTTTTCTTCCCCCTCTGCGTTCTTGTTGGTTTCAGGTCTACCCCTTCCCAGGTTTGGTTCCGTGTCCCTTCGGGTTCATCGGTTCCGTCATTCCTTGGGGTGCTTTTCTCCCCTTTCCTCGCCTTTTCGCGATTATGTCACATACATGTTCCCTTCGTTTCGGGATCCCTGTGTGTTCCTTGGTCAGAGGTCTCTTTGGGCCATGTGTCCCTCTGTGCATTTGCGCTTGCATTTCACGGTTCTCGTTGGTTCGCGGAACTCTTCAATACTTCCAATATTATTGGAATGTCTGTTGACTTCCGGTGAGGTTTCCCTCTAGTCCTTTCTCGGACTCGTTGGTCCTCTTCCGTGCTTCTTGTCTTCTCTTGATTCTGTTTTCGCATTATTTAGTCTTCACATTGTCTCACCTTCCTGTCTTACCATTCCTATTATTCGTTCCGTACGCCTTGCTGGCGCCCTCCCCGGAAGATGGGTGTGCGGTTTGGTCCTCAGGGGCTGGGGGGTTGTTTTTGTTTTGAGAGGTGTACACGTGTGTTGGTATTCCAAGTCTTTTCTCGTGGATTCTACCCCATTCTCACTCCTTTTATCTCCACTCATTACCCCCCTGGATACTCGAGGTGTTCTGGATTTTATGTGTGTAGCAATCTTTTAGTTCTTTTCTCGGCTTGAGAGGGTGGGGCGACTCTGAGTGGCGCCTCCTCTGCCTCTGTATTGCATGCACCTCGTCTTCTACTGGGCACGCACCTCTGGACATTCTCCACTAGGGATGCTCCTGTTACATTGCACGGCTCAGGTGTGTCATGACACGGTGGTGTCTCTGTTCTGCAGGTGAGATTGTACTGTCTGGTGACTCTGTCGGCCAGGTGCTGGTTCTCACTTTTAGTGGGATACTCACCTAGTTGTACTCACCTAGTTGTGCTTGCAGGGATTGCACTCTGGCTCTTTGGTCCCACTTCTCAACTGTCAATCAACAGGTGTACAGATTCCTGAGCCTACTGGGCTCTCTCTCTTACCTCCATTTCAAACTGTGTATGGAGTCTGCCTCAACCACATCACTTCTTAGTGCATTCCATTTACTAATTACTCTGACACTGGAAAAGTTTTTTCTAATGTCTCTGTGGCTCATTTGGGTACTCAGCATTCACCTGTGTCCCCTTGTACGTGTACTAGCCGTGTTCAGTAATCCATCCTTGTCTACCCCGTCAATTCCCTACTTGACAGGTAGCATCAATGGAACCTAACAGGGATGTTAGGTGTTGTGTGTTTTGCTTGGACACTTTGCGTGTGTCTTACTGTGAATTTACTTTGTCCGTGTATCTTATTTTTAGTTGTACTGTGGGGCACTGCCCCGAATTTTGATGCGTTTTGTTTAGTTTTCGGCGCCTGGGTATTTTCTCGATATTTGGACACTCCTTCGTTCCCTCGGTCTGTGCCTTCTGTGTCCTCATTCCTTAACTCTGTCTCTGATCTCTGGACACTCCTTCCTTGCCTATCTTCATTGCCTGGCTGCACCCTGATATCCATGGTGTCCCTCTGGGTATGTGCAACCACCCACAACACACGATGTGGTCGGTCGTGTACATTGTGTTGCTGGCTGCTCCTTGGTCCGTATTCCGGTCTTTTTCCATGCCTATTTCTGGTTTTCCTCCCTCTATGTTACACATGGCTGTGTATCTTGGTCGGTGCTTCTTGGCTATACTGTTGTTGGGTGCTGGGGTGGGCCTCTCTCCATGTTCTGTTCCCTGCTTTTGGACTACTCCAGTGTTCAGTTTTGGTACTGAGTTCTTTCACTTTTTCTTTGTATCTCCCTGCAGGCCAGTGTGTTGCAATGTCTGCGGGTGGTTGTGGACTGCTGGTCAACTGCTCCTGCCCTACTGGTTCCTTTTCTTGGGACAGGGTTAGCTAGGATTCCAGTCCTGGCTACGGCTTTTCTTTGTTCCATTTCCAGAACGTACGTTTTTGTTTTCCTGCGGAACACGTCCTGCGTAGTTCTGCTCATGTATACCTCAGACACACGTGCGTCGTTCTTCCCTGCTGGAGCTGGTTGCACTGCTCCTTTGGGTTGCGGGGTCACTGTTTTTCGCATCGTGTCTCTCGCTTTAGTTCGTGGTGCTTGTCGTCTGGTACCGTAGAATGCTCCCAACCATAGGGGGGTTTCTATAGGCCATTGCTCCTCGTGCCTCTCTGAGGGGGGCCAGGTTTTGGCTCATGGTCCTCAGTAGGCAAGAACTCCAAGCACTTTGATGCCAGAAAGTTATACATATCCATTCAGCCTGGATAGCTCCAGGGAGCCTCCGGGACTCGCCTAGAAAATGGTGTTTCATTACATTCAACGCTGGCTTTTTATTAAATTGTTACCTAAAATGTAGCCATCTGCATATTTATGGCTCTCCACAACAATATATTGAGCTTTGATTTAATATGACCCACTCCAGAGCTGACAGTTTTGGAAAATCTTCAGATATGTTAATATTGTTCTGTAATACCTACATAATGCAAACTTTTTCCCTGAATTTTCTCTATTAGATACAAATATATGGAAATAAAACACAGCCTATGGAAGTTTTTGTTCCTAATTAAAAAATAATTGTAGAATAAATACAAATTTATGTAACATTCCTTTTCTAATAATGAACTACAGTATTACAAAATGTATTGTTTTTTCAGTCATTGTGGTCTGGTCCCGGCCCATCTCCATTGGAGCGTCTCCTTGAGCAAAAGAAGTATAGCAATGTTCCTAAGTGAGGCAAAGATGGATCATGATGATGGAATTAAGCTTAACAGATAACACTTTGCAATCCCACCGTGGGTTCTTGGCAGAGCAGTCATCACCGTTTTTCGGCTGGCGATAAGTGGAGTGGCACAGTTCAGATGAGCTTCCAATATTGCATATAGCATAGCTCACAGTGCCCTCTGTGTTACTTGCTGCCGGACAGGATTGGGGTAAGCAGATGTAGAGCTATGTCATAGTCTGGGTGACTGGGGCATGTATACGTAGAGCTCTGTATTTATAACTGTGAGGAGATTGGCAAGGAAAATCCCTTGATGGCAGTTTACCGAGGCTCGAATTCTCTGTGCTGTGAGTAAGAGCATTAACTGTAATTGAGGCGCCAGGTTTGGCTGTCTGTGCAGCTGATGACTTGGCACATGTCCAGTGCATGATGAATGCAGCTCAGCCGTTTTACTCGAGATATTTCCCTCCCGAAACTCCTGTGGCTAAGGTCGTCTATGTTCAGATGAAAGTATGTCGTGAATATTTGTAAATTCCTCAAGAATGTAGGGATACACACTGATATGCCAATCTTTTACATAGAATATGTATCAGACAGTTACTAGCCACAGACTGTAGGTCTTTGTTCTTCTTGGCCTTTTGTCATATTATAGTCTCTAATATAATTGTTTCAACATTAAAGACAGGGTTTAGTTCATGATGTGATTGGTTTGACGGCACATAATGCAGTTATTACAGCCATGTAATAATAGGACATGAAAGTGCAGCATTAGTACTTAACCATATTCATTGGTTTCCTCATTCACTAGTTATTCACTATACGGACATAATACTATATTTTGTTTTGTAATGTACATTCTAACTTGAGTGAAATAAACCTTCCGCAAGTAATTCTAAGAATTTTATTTCCGTTCTTATACTTTGAAGTTCATTATTACCAAAAAATATAATTAGTTGAATTGGACAAAGAAAGAGTTCTACACGAAGGTGTTCAAAAGCCTGCGCATAATATTAGAACTCCCAGCTAAGTTTGTGACTAAAATATGAATGAAATAAGAGACTGAAGGAACAAATATAATAATGTCTGTAAAATACATGAAACCACTTCCTTATTACACCAACCCATAGGCAAGCCTTTCAAAGATAGAGAAAAATGCAACAGGTACAAGAGGAAGATAGAATTGCAGGACAAACCCCCCCCCCTCACCTGAGGAGTTCCCAACTTGTAAACCAACTCTAGGAAAGAGGAGAAGGCATATGAAAGAAGATCCAAGCAGCCCTATTCTCCCCTTCCCCTTCCCAATGCAGGAAAGCCAGCATAGGCTGTCTTGTACCAATGAGAAGGTAGGAGTCCCTAAAATAACTTCCTAGAGAAATGGGTACCAAACCAAAGTTTGAAGCATCACTCACAGAAAATATAACAAGCAAACTAAAGTGGAGTATTTCCCTCTACAGAGAATACAAGATGGAGGTATGCAGGAGACATGGCCAACTAATTCCAACTTTAACCATCAAAAAACAGGGGGGAATGAGTGTCCATACCACAGCTTAGAGGTGCAAACCCAAGAAATCAATGAAAAGAAACCTAAGAAAGCACCAGAACCTACTGCTGGTGATCATGACATTGGAAAACATTGGCAGGAAAACTAGTATACTAGTAAAATAAACTGCAAAATTTCCTTATTAAGACTACTCATAGCCCAGTCGATAGAGCTTCGGCCTCTCACACATGGGGTCCATGGTTCAAGACTCCTATAACCCAGGTGAATGGAATGGAATAGTATACTAGTAGTTCAATATTTACTCCATGTCTAAAGGGAACCAAGCAAACACAATCCAGCAGGAGAAGCCAAGGGCAGAAAGCCACTAGAGTTACCCAGTACCAATAGCTGAGCCCCATAAGGCAGAGTTGCACATGGCCACAATCCTAAAATTTTGCACCAGCTCATAGCTGCAAGGTGCAGTCGAACCAGGCCACAGCAAACCAGCCCCACCAACCGGTCCATCTAATTATCCAAAGCTACCCAAATCTACTCAAAGCTACCCAAAGTTTCCTAGTATTACGTAAGTAATGAAGAAATGTGATATATTTACTCACTATAACGTTGGTGCTGAAGGTAGAACATGAAAAAACATATTTTTACTCTGAAATAATATAAGTTTATAACAAAATTAGACGAAACTAAGTGGCATGAGACGCCATAGGAAGTCGACGATCCAAGCGACAATGTTGTGGAGCGATTTATCCAAGATACTGTATATTGCTGCCTACAGGTTATATTAAGTTAGGTTTGGATAGGTTAGGTTTAGTTTGGTTAGGTTATGTTTGGGTAGGTTGGTTAAGTTAGGTAGGTACAGAAGGCTGATATGCCAGCAAAAACTTTCCAAGCAACAATGTGTCTTGGATAAGTCGCTCCACAACATTGTCGCTTGGACCGTCGACTTGCTTTGGTATCACCAGCAGCTTATTTTTGTCTAATTTCGTTATGAAATGATACTTTTCAGAGTAAAAATATGCTTTTCCATTTTCTACATTCAGCACCAACATTATAATGAATAGTAGTAGTAGTAGGCATCCATCAGTCTCAGGAGACTATGGAGTTGTGCTCTGGTTGTCGGTCTGGAGTGGCCTCACCAGGGCACAAAGCCAGGATAAATATGATAAATATGAATAAATATGATATATTTATTATAATGAATAAATATATATTTATTCATTACTAACGTAATATTAGGAAGATTTGGGTAGCTTGCTAGGAAGTTTCGAGTAGCTTTGAGTAATTAAATGGACCCCCACCAACCAAAGAATGGTGTATGGACCCAACTGAGTGGAGTCTGTTAGCAGAAACCAGGGGCAGGCATTAAGGATATAAATGAAGAGAACAAAGCAAACTAAAGACTGAGGGAAATTAGAGGCCAAAGGTGAAAGCCACCCAGACAGTTTCTTTCTCCTGATAATTATCTTGCCCAGGCAATTATGGGTTGTATCCTGGGGAAGGTCAGTAGTTGACCTGGGGAAGGATATCATTAAGCTTAAGTACAGGTTTTCTTTCCCAGATAATGGAAAACTTGTCTACAAATGCATGTTACTGCACTGAATCAAAGTCAACATAGGGATGAAAAGCAGTTCACATACTAAGTAAGGATGAGGACAGGACTGTGAACCCTGCAAACAAGACAAGCCTGGGGTAATGTAAATCCAGACCTCCTCTTAAAGAGGTTCAACATGACACAACAAGCATGGTAAAGTCAATGTTTACATCATCTCTTCAAGCAGATTAAGTGATGTTGGGTCTGGCCAGAGAGTGGATATGCAACTGCACAGAAAGCTATGTCCTTTGCTTAGGGTATTTCTTGTCAGGTATGGGATATCCATGAAAGGCCTCCTGTACCCAACACTGGTATCAGAGATGACTGTGATGCATCACAGGGCACATTGCGTATTTTGGTGAACAAAGGGTGAAATGGTGCGCACAGCACTACATGTTTGTCCCCAGGGTGTCAAGGGAAAGCAGCCAAAGGAGGTACAGTATTAAGGCTCGGCCCAGTGCTCAGCCAGCCTCACTCAGCACGCGCATTCAACTCCCTTGGTCCTCAAAAAAAAAATTCCAAAAAGGAATAGATGTTTGGCCACATTTTCTACCACCTGATGAATTTGTTCACCTAGCAGTAAATAGGCAACTCATTTCAGTTGCATGTTGGGAAAGGTTAGCCATTGGCTTTACGGAAACCAATTTAAACTTCACATACTACTGTCTGTTTAATTACCCAAAGCTTCCTAGCATTACATAAGTAATGAATAAATATGATACATTTACTCACTATAATGTTGGTGCTGAATGTAGAACATGACAAAAAATATTTTTACTCTGAAATACTATAATTTTATAAGGAAATTGGACGAAACTAAGTGACAGGTGCTGCATAGGAATTTTTTTTTATTATTTATTATTTCCTATCACAGACGTGGCCAAACATTTACAATGCTAACCAGACCTCTTCTTAAAGAGGTTCTCTTCATTTATACATATTCATATTCATAAAACATATATACATTTTCTTCTGTCCTCCATGGACAGGGTTAGAGATCTGTTAAACATATACTGTACAGGTAGTTCAGTGTTTTATTGAACAATCAACCACAGAAGGTTATTGCAGTGCTTATAAAATGCTAATCTAACCTACATACAGAAATACATAAACACACTGATTTACGTCTACATACATACACACATAAATATATTCACATATACACATACATACATACATACACACATATATTTGTCTCTCCTACTTTGACAGGATAAGGTACTAGTTGCTTTATAAATTAATGTGTTATTAAGCACCTAACCAACTAACCACTGAAGGTGATTAGGGTGCTTTTACAAGCTCAGGTTATAGTTACATCACAAACATTGTATAACTGATGCATTACATAGTCAATCTATGTATAGTCAATGTGCATAGTATAGTGCATAGTCAATAGGTGGAGGTATGGATATTTTTTTGTATTAACAAGCTTAGGTATACACAACAATGTGCTGCTACCCCATTCTATATGAAAGATTACACAGTGTAGATCAAAAACTAGCTATAAGTTCATATAATATTCCCTTCTCACAAGATGGTTAGTCATATATGGAATCAGGTTCTAGCCTCAATTCAAAAACAAATCAACTTTAACTAAACAGCAACTTTACGATTTTTTGGATGAGCTACAAGCTCATCCAGCAACATTCCCACCTCTCAGGACGACTAGCCATACACGACATCAGGCGAGACCATGAAATGTAAGGGAACTATCAGGAGAAAGTGCCAAGCCATTACGACTGTATAACACTGAGAAGGGATCAGGATAAAGATTTGGGATGGATCGAGGAGAAAGGAATGGCGCCCAACCACTTGGACGGTCAGGGATTGAACGCCAACCTACTTGAAGCGAGACCATCACTTCATGTAGTTCATGTTTTCATTACATGAAAAAAAGTTTCATGTAATATTTAATAATACCTGTACATGAAAAGAAAATTAGTGTGTCGGCTCTTCAGCGTAGCAAAATGGTTTATTACTTGTTCATTAAAATCCTTCATTTCTGTTTTCATTATATTTTCAATATCACTCTCATTCGCCATGGAGTTATTCGTGTAAAAATGTTCTGATTTTCTTCAAAATTTAAAAACACCCTTCTGCTTCTGCCGTTGTCACTGGAGTTAATAAAATTTTCACAAGTGTTACAGTTTCTAAAAATGGTGACTGTAAATGATTGCTGTTCATAATCTCCAACAGGTCAATGAAGTTTTCTGATTTATGCAACCGAAAGCTTGAATGCTGAATCAATTTGAGCCACAATGTTCACTTTACTCAGCATTGATAAATCAATCACGATATTCATGTGCTTGGCCGACTGCTTATGTTTCATTATTTTCTGTGGTAAATGCCTCAAGTCAGTCACCCCACTTTTCGTCCATGGTGGGTCCCCACCAAACACTAAGCATGGAAAGCCAAATAGTGTTTTTCTCATCAAAACCACAAAGCCATTCACATTTCTGATACTGATGTTAAATTGACATGTTTTTGTTTACTCTTGATTGTACTTCTCTGTAGAGTGGTTAAACTGGCGTATGTCTTCCTTTAACTTTTATTCTTGTTTTCGTTTAATATCAGCTGCGAAAAGTTAATACTTTGTAAATACTTCACTAAGTTCACACTACTTTTCAATGCCATTGTTTGTCAAAGGGTAATTAAAGTTATAAGTATTCAAAGCAACTTAATTAAGCACCATTAGCAACATTTCAAGATTCAGTTATAAATGTACAGTATTGAAAATAACATACACAAGTATACACCAGTATATATCACTGCCGGTCATACACTTGGCAGTGAGTATTTCT